CACACCAAATCATCTACTATATAAGTTAAGGACACATATATGACAATTGATCTATTTAATGTAACACTTTATTGAATTGAATAAATAAATAAACAATTGTCCAATATTAATACTATATCAAAACGCATGGTTAATAGTATATCCTAACAATTTGGTCATCTAACTTCACTGCGTACATTGAGACTAGCTTCGTGTAATCTCTAAGGCTCAATTCCTAAATCTCTATGGAATCTCACCAGCATAGAGGAATTGAACCTTGGTTATAACCATCTTATTGAGATTATGTCTCAGGATATTGCAGAAATAAATTAGTTAGCAATTTTTAGTATTTTTAAATTATGTGATTAGAGTCCTATTTGACTTATATTAGAAGTTAGTTCTTTTGTTTATTATTTAAATTTTACTGATATATTTTTCTATTTTTAGTTAGAAATTATATCTATAAATTTAGAATCCTTTAATAGGATTTTCCTTCATTGTAAATAAGATTTGTGAATTTCTAAATATCCCTCAAGACGAATAAGAAGTATTCTCTCTTCTTTTTACTTTATTCTCATTGTTTATATTATTTCATAACACGTTATCAACATGAGACTCTGCCATCTCGATCAAATAGTAAAAAATCTGAAAAATAATTCAAAAGTCTCGAATATATGCGTGCACTATCCCAAAGCCATACATTTGATGTGTTGTTTTGATGGAATCAACACCATTCCCTCTATTGTAAGAAATATAAATTAATAGAGAAAAGGTAACATTATTTAATTTCTTATATGTGAGTGCAGTAACCATACAAAACATCAAAAATACATGAGAAGTAATAATTGAATGATGCGATAATTAGTAAGGTTTACAATCTGTTGTTACTCATTGTTTTTTGCCTACAATTTTATAACTTGAGAATTGGGTTAGCAGTCATACGACATCATGTTAAATGTATTTTTGAAATTAAATAATTGTTGATTGGTTAATATTTATAAAGATTCAAGGGTAAGTTCTATTGTTTTTTGTCCCATTATGTTATTGATTGAGGGAAATACGATGTTTTTAAGTCTCATCGATTTATGGCCTAAGGTATTTTCATATAAATAAGATTATTGATTCATGTCTAATCGCATCAAGGGGGTAAGATATGAGGTTCGAGCCTTGGTGTACCGTGATATATTAGAGATGTTGAGTTCAAGTCTCATGATTTATGACCTAAAATTTCTTTATATGGATAAAACATTGAATTTGAACTTGATGCAACATATTGATAATATAATGATGACTAAAGAAAAACTAATGTATTTTTTATGAGAAGTCATGAAATTTACTGAATTTACTGTATTACTTAAAGTAAATTTGGTAGTAGTGCATAATGTTTATGAAAGAAGACAAGTGATTGAATAATGCAAATAAATATGAAATGAGGTACTAAAGCTATCATTATTTTATATGCTCACATGTTTGTATTCCATTCATGAAGAATGAGAATTTTTTATAAATGCTAAAAATATAGATCCATTCTCTAAAGTGAATGAGGTATAAGTCACCATGCTAGGCGTGGAAAAGATCGCAACCTTTGGTTGTAGATGTAGTATCTTTAAAAATGTCATTGGGCAGATATGTGTTATTTTTATTGGACAAGGATTGATGACACATTCTATAGTAAATCAAAAATTTCCTACTTTCAATACTTTTGTAATTTTGACATCATTGTCTTGGACATCATGGTTCTATAATGATGAGATGAATTATAGATAACTAAAATAGACGTCTATCAAAGAACCTAAAGATTCAATGATGGAATCGCGATTTACCTCTAAAAAGGGTAGAATAATTGAGAAGATTTAAATTTGAAAATTACTCTCGGAGTAATAAAATTGATATTTACTCATATAATAGTAAATTAGAAATCTACTAAAGCAAAAGACACATGGTATAGTAAACTTAGAGTTTAAAAGTATTAGTATTTTTATTAGTCGGCATGAATAATTTGTAATCTCAAAGATGTGCATACATGACAATAGACATACATTGAAGAATTAGAAGCTTCTTCAAGAATTAGTTAGGTTGCTTGTTCTCGTGATAAGTAGATTGGATCAAATAATGTTGGGACTAAATCCATAAATTCAGAAAAGTATAAAAGATGAATGTAGGCCCGTTCACCTATCATGTGATACGATAAAGCGATGCATCTATAAGATATTCACAGGTGCATTTGTTATCAAATTGCAGTTTAACATTTGCAAAATTGTTTGTGCAATATAATTGAGATAAGAACACAACTTTCAGATATGTAATCAAGACAATTCATTTTGATAATATTGATAAATATCCAAGTTGATGTGACATTCAATTTCTCAGACAGATAAATAGTCAATCATTGCATATGAGAGCAAAGTTATTGGGTTTTATTTGCCCTAAATTTCTTACCATAAATAGGTTTTCCTTGTAGGAAAAGGTTTTGGATTGACTAATCCTTTTTCTGGTAGGAAAAGGTTTAGGACTCTATAAATAGAGGCATGTTCTTCTAACTTAATCAGCATTCACAATGTAGTCTTAAGAGCTTTGAGTGTTTGCTTAGGGGGAGAATTTATGGGTCACAATTTGGATATGTTATCACTTGTGTG